TACCCCCTTGTAATACAAACCAACAATAGCGATTTGAAACTATGATCGTTTGTTAAAAAACTTGTGTCCTCAGCTGAATTAAATTCTGAGATTTAAATGTTCAATTGGCAAGGTAAAATTATGAGGATTCGCAATCTTAATTTCACTTTAATTGATTTACTTTTTTCTTTAAAATAAAATTCATCAGTACATTTTCACTGCAAACAGACTGTAACCTATGTATTGAAACAAAGATTATTCAGGCCTACCAAATATAAACCTGAAGGGTGCTTCTCACTATATATTAGACAGGGCTTCTTTTCCCGGAATAACCGATTTGAAATTTTTGTTTGCTCACAGCTTTTACTTTTTGTAAATAAGACCTATTTTCCGGTTTTACTTTTTGTTAGTAAGACCTCTACCCAGGTTTTACTTTTTCCTAACTCTATATTAACATCAACATTCAAATTCAGATGATATGTGAGTCTTTGAAATCAATTGAAAAATATCGTCAAAGATCAACTTTAATGTGCAAATGTTTTCCCTAGCAGGAATGGAACTGCATCTCTCAGGTTAATAAGCGGACACTCTACCTCACGGCCAACGGGCCAACAAAGAAGCCAGGGTTGAATTATCTATTTATAGTTAGGCCTACTGTCAATTGATTGTACTAGCCCTTCAGTTACTGTTATGTAGCTTCATTACATGATCATCTAATTATCCATCATTGATGGTTTATATGTATAATAAAGAACACCTCCTCGGTTATGGTTGGTAAGCCCTCGACCATCGGGTGGAGAGAAGTAAGACCTCGAGCGCTACGCTCCCCACCCTCCGGCCTCGGGTCTTACTTTCCCAGCCATAACCCTGAGTCATGCTTTATCCTACACAGAAAATATTCCAACTGTGCAGAAAAACGTCGAAAAGTCCACATTAATCGTGGAAATAGCAACATAAACATAATGACTCGCTACTGAAACAGTAAAAACAGCAACAAAAAACTATGAAACTGCAACATTATTATATCAGCAAACTTTGACCTCTACTGCACATACGCATAACGATCTGACCTGGAAAACTATTTCCGAGCAACCGTGAATCGCCTAGAAAAAGTATTGAATATTGAATATGTCAAAATGATTGCTGTCAATCATTTCATAGGAATGGAAAGTGATCTAAACAAGTGTGCACACAAGCATCATGATGATAAATGCCAATTAACACAACAGATACTTTAAAAAGCAAGTGTAAGCTGGAAAATGTCAACGTTCAGTCGAGACTTCCTTTTCCATGTGCGCATGGAAGTCGCAGGCTCTTCTTTTTTTTATCCACTTTTGCTATTTAAATTTACTGTTTTTCTGTTTCAGTAGCGATGTATTATGTTTATGTTGCTATTTCCACAATTAATGTGAACGTGTCTGCGTTTTGCTGCACAGTGGGAATGTTTTCTTTGGTAGGCCTGTTATTGGCGATAACATTACAGGAAAGTCTTCATCTGACTTACGGCAATGTTTAAATGAACACAAGTTATAACACACACAAAATGGTGCAATGTTTAAACGAACACCGTGTCAACACACAAAATGATGCCATGTGCTGGAGTACTATACAGCCAAGCATTGTATAAAAAAAAACACGTTTCTATTACAGATTTGGGGATCATGAATGTTCTGACGATATTCTACATTCAGGGTCACTTCATAGATGGGGTATACAAATTAGCATTGGTTTTGAATGTCTTTACAAGGGTGCCAAAGACGTCGTTTGACGATCAAAGAATGAGGCAGATACATGCTGAAACAGGGTCAACATCCGGACACACTGCTAACATCTTTGGCACCAGACAATGTCTAATTACCACGGAATTTTAATCAACTAGTGATGTTAGGATCATCTACCCAGTGATGTGCAGGAGTCCAAGGGCATTCCACCACACAGCAGAAAGAGAGACTTTGTGAATCATAATGTCCTAAAGCTAAGAAACAACCAATATAATGTCAGTTTTAATGATTCTTCCTATACAGTGCATATTTATATCCATGAGGCTGGCACTTTTGTATATAGTTGAAGTTCACATCAAGGGCACAGACTAGGACAGGGCTCAAGTACTTGTGATTGATGAATTGAGATATCATCTGGATTTCATAGATTGTCGACGTGATGCCCAAGCATGGTGAAGACAAGGAGAACATGTTTTACTTCCAAAATAGCCAAACATGAGCCCTCCAGAGGTGGCTCAGTCATGATTTGGAGTGGGATTTGTGCACAATGAGGGGTAAGCTACAAACATGACATTCTGGATGTGCACGTGAGACCTTCCACTAGTTCAATCGGACCAGACATCCTTGTTAAAAACGATAACGTCATTGTGCCCTGTGGTCGTTAATGCCTACCTACAACAGGAGACCATTGTCAGCATGAGGTAACCAGCCCGGTGACCTGAACTAAACCTTAGTTTTAGAGCTGTTGGGAGCTCAGATGAGGAGTGAGATGCAGATAGCCCTCTTTTGTGACATTGTCCTCCTGGCAACTCTATGGCAATGCTCTCTCTGAAGAGTGGAACAGTTTTCCTTTGCAACTGTCCACACAGCTTTTGGGAGCATGAGAAGACAATGTCAGACTGTGATCTCACCACGTAGATAGCATATAAACTACTCAGGGTTGTGTTTTTGGACAATGAATTTGAAGCTTGATGGGCATTTGGAAGTTTGAAGGTAACATAACAAAGTATGGTATGGATTTACAACTTCTTTATTATTTACAACACAAAGTTTCTGGGCTACTTCTTGCCCCATCATCAGGTGAATGACAGAATATGATCACAAGTAACATAAATAGTACCTACAAGGAGGCCAGTGAGATGGAATTAAAGAATGAGATGTACAGGGTTACAGCCCAGGAAAGCCACATTTAAGACTGACTGACTGAGTTTAGTTTTACGCCGCTTTTAGCAATATTCCAGCAATATCACGGCGGGGACACCAGAAATGGGCTTCACACATTGTTCCCATGTGGGGAATCGAACCCGAGTCTTCGACGTGACGAGCCAACGCTTTAACCACTAGGCTACCCCACCGCCCCCCACATTTAAGAAAAACAGAGTTGAAAATGGTGTGGCTTAACCGACAATGGGCATGGTTGAGTGATCGTGATGAATGTGGCTTTCCCGGCAATGTGCTATTAGCTAATCCATGTTACCATAAATAATGTGAAATATTCAATATGTAAAATCTAGAAATCCAGTTGAATTGTTCGAGGAGAAAAACTAGCTGCCTCACATAGATTTACTCAAACCCCTTTTATGAATCATTTATGATTATACAACCAATTATTTCTTTGAAGCATTTTAACTTATGGGAGGGTCAATTCAATGTTTTATCCTTTTCTGGAAACTGTTTGAGCTATGGTTGCCTCTGTTATTATGTTTATGTTCATGCTAAAAACTCAATAATAAAATAAATAAATAATTTTTTTTTACAAGAATGACCATTTATTGCACAAATATACTTATAAACAGCTACATATGTGACACCTAACTCTTTCCATCTCATTGTTGTTTTTAAGCAAAATTCTTGTCTGAACTTCTCTGCTGATACCATATACCAATCATACAAACCAAAGTAGTTCACATGAAGACATACAAAAATACAAATAAAGTTTTTCTAAGAGCAAAAGCTGAAATTGGCCTTTTCCATAGAATGACCCATTAGCATGTATCATTTTATCTCAGAACATATCTTATCTTATGTTAACTAAAAACTTCAAAGAGAATAAAGAAGTGGTCAATGGGTGACACTAATTTGAAAAAAACCCAGTATTGATTCCCTTACTCAATGTGGCTTTCGCGGTGATTTGCGGCACTGAGGTTTGTACTTGAAATGTGGCTTTAGTGGCAATTGGTATTTTTCAATTTTGGCTTTCCCAGGCGGACACTGATGTACAGAGATCAAGGAGATTAGGTGATATGTTTTGATTAAGTGGTATTTTTATGCAACAGATTGGCATAGAGATGGTATGTACAGAGTGTTTATACAACAAAAAGGATATACATTGATTGGATATATTTTTGTACCTTGATTGGAAGCTACGTGTGAAAACAGTAAATGGAAGACACACATCAAAGCATGTATCAGTAATTAGGAGCAGCATGGGAAAACAGGTACAGTGAATTGGAAGCTTATTTTTTCTCTGTATCAAGCATTCGGCAAGCAAACACCCTGATCCCTGTACAAACACACATACAGTGGAAACCTGATAAGTAAAATTTCAAGGGACTCGCCAAAATTGTTTACTTATCATGTATTTTACTTATCCAAACTTATAAAAACCTGCAAATGACAACCATATGCATGTATATGTATACATATGTAACAATGAACAACTTATCAGGGCTGGCCTCCAGTTGTCAGTGTATTGTCAACTGCATGATGCCAGCGAGCTGTAAGTAGGATGTTTGTTTGACTGGAGACTGACACGACTGCCCCTCATGTCGGATTATGTGGTGATCGCTAATTTAGTTATCCAGTATCTTTTGTTAAGTAATTTACTTCCAGGGACCGTGAGAGACGTTTAGTTAAGCGGTATTGTTTACTTATCCGAGTTTAGTTAACCGGACTCTAATAGTGATAATTAATGAAGAAATTTGCCGGGACAAAAGAAAAGTGTTTCCACTGTATTTTCATCTATCAGCATACTTCACAAATGAAAATCACAAAGGGTGTGTGCCCTTGCTGTCCTTGAATAACAAAGCTATGAAGAAGAGATGTTGAAACTGTTAACACTTGAAACATTAAAATGAACCCAGAAATGTTATACCGGGTAACATATATATGCCTCTCTCAGAAACTATGGAATCATTGTTCCTTGTACCTTCTAAGACAAAAACTGGCCTTTGAAGGGTTTATCACAAACCTTTGATGCTGTAGAACTTGTAAAAACATAAAAAATAGAGGTGCAGTCACGGTTCAATTAATCTGGGTTCAATCAAAACAGAGCAAACCTCTGTGACAATCTATACTTACACTGACTGTCTTCTTGATGCGATGTGAAGGACCTGGGTAGTCTCCACTGTACAAGTCCGTTAGGAAGAGAGAATTGATGAGAGTTGACTTTCCTAACCCAGATTCACCTACAACATATGACAGTTAAGTGAATAAAAGTAAATGTTATTAAGCTAAATAAATGTTCAATGCAAATCCATGTTCACATTCCTCGAAATTATATGTACAAAACATGTCATTAATAACTTTCTACTAATCATATACTAACAATGTGCTCCAGATGACCTCTGGCAGGATGTGACTTTGTTGTCAGTTCATCTGGTAGTCGTTTTTGTCACTTTTGCAACTCAGAAAGAAATAAGCCTTGTCATACCAGTTTCAAAAAGAGTCTGTAAGTTTATCTTATGAATTCTTCCATGAAATAAAAATAGATTTACTACAGTACACAAATAGCATACACAGAAAAGAATATACAACAATTTAGATGACCCCCAAATCTTCTGACCATGCAATTTTGTCTGTATCTTTCAACTGCAATTACACGATCTATGTAGACATTTGACTATATTCCCATTCTTCACAAAAACATAATAACTATTTTGTCGTAAGTTTCATCTGTGTTGTGAAGTTTTTTTCTTTGTAATTGATCTAAAGAAAACTATGTGGTAGGTGGTATTGGGACTGATCCACTCTCTGACACCAAAAACTTGACCCTAAAACTTAACCAAAAACTCTTAACTACCGTTGTGTAAGGAATGCTGTACTGCTTTTTGTCATAGAAACTGTCCAATTCTTAGATCCAATTAGGCAATACATTTTTTTTCCTGAACTGAAAGAAAAAAATATTAGAAATGTACATATTCGTAAATATATCTCAAATATTGTAGGTTTAATCAAAAGAACATACATCTCTGAAGTTTCAAGTCACTCAAATCTCCACAAACAACAATGACAATCAGTGGTAGTGAGAGGAAAATTCTGCACTCATGCTTCACATTGCTGGCTCAACAAATACAGACTATAATGACCACCAATGCCAGGAGGTGAGGTGAAATTGGGTTTAACGTCGTGCTTGAGAATATTTCGCTCATATGACGACGTGCATGCGTGTGTATGTGTATGTGCGGCTGCTTGTACTAGCCCAGACTTAAGCTGGTTTTATAGTGCTAGCCCACTGAGATACCACGCCGCAGTGAAGCATGAATACCCCACTCAGACACATAATACTGACTCCAAGCCAACCAGTCCTTGTTGTACCCATTAATGCCGAACGAGAGGCAGGGACCAACAAGTACCATATTTTAACGTCTTTTGGTATGACGCGGTCAGGGATCAAACCCGCGACCTTCCGCTCTCTGGGCAGACGCTCTTACCAGGAACACTGAATTGTTGGACAGAAATCATTATACTTCAGCAAGATATATATTTGTTTTCAGGTAATGTATGTCATGAATTTTTACATCATTGGGTCACAGTTCAAGGATTCTCTGCTCCACATTGCTATGGACTGACAGTACATTTCAGCAATCAGTGGACCATAGCTTTGATCAAGAAGGAGAATGACGAGCATCTTTTAAGGTAAATGTGTGTGTTGATATGAGATTTATAAATCCATTGGTAAAAGACAACCCATCATTAATTCCAACCACTGTCCTTGTCACTTGTAACTGCATTGATTTAATAAGTGAACAAATCCTCCTCTGCTAGATGTCAATAGATGTACACTACTGCAAAACACTACACATCCTGCACTTCAAAAATGATTTATGTCACTTATCTGACCAACCTAAACATTTATGTAAAATAATTAAGCCAGTGATTAGAAATAACAATTTTTTTCTCTTGTGATATATTCAACATTAGGATGAAATTCAAGATGTCTGCAAATGAAACTTAAAACAAGAAGACAAAGTCATCAATATCCCCCGCAATGGCAAAATACTCTTCATGATTATGTCTATGAGTTATGATTATGTCAAATATTTAGGTGTGTATATAGAAAAGTGGAAGGAGAGTATTGAAAGGTTTTTAAAGTTCTGCTCCAGAAAGGAGCACTATCACCAATTTCAGTCTATGTCAAACTTGTTGCCATGGAAATGCCAAAAATATTTTATTCAGAAATCCAAAACTACCAAAAGGCACCAGTACACCACCAGATCTATGTATGTGCCAAGTTTGGTGAAGAAATATTGAACGGTATTAGAGTTCTGCTCCGGAAAAGAGCACTACCACCAATTTCAAGCTAAGTTGAAGTTGTTGCCATGGAAACGCCAAAAATACGCAATTGATGGCAATGCATAGATTCGGCATGTCTTCATTGCCCTCAAGAAATCAGCAAAATGATGAGCTTGTTACACACCTTATATACAACTAACTTAAAATCCTTCCTCAAATCACATTACTTTGGGTGTAGCAGGCCATTTCTTCCCAGGTCTAAACTTTCCCCTGGTAAAATCTGCCCTAGTCCAAACTTTTCCTGTGGAAGTTTTGTCTTAGGATATTCTTACCCCGGGGAAGTTTGGGCTAGCTCCACAGCTGGGTGGACTGGGACACATAGTCACAGTACTTTGTTGCACGTTTACTGCACGTTGCTGTACCAGCAACTAGGTGTTTGCACATATTCGTGGGGCCACCATCTGGTCATATACCAACGGATTCGTTGGTTCTTTTAAGTGCACAGGGTTGTGTACTGTACACTAGGGGTTGTGACAACGCTGAAAGAGTCTGCACACAAAGTTGACTCCAAGGTTTTTACACCCAGTCACAGGTGGGCTCGATCCCGGCACCACATGCTCGCTGGATTTTTAGCCTGGCGCCTTAGCCAGATCGCCCACCACACCCCCAGAAACTTAAAACATCACAACAATTTTGTCATGTCAATTTATTGTTATTAAATCAGTGAACATCATGTAACCCTGTAAACTTGAGAGCTGGATTTCCTGAACACTGCATGACTGCAAGAATACTTAAGTTTCATTTGTCCTGAACCAATAAGCTAACCCAGAAATTATGTTTCAGATCCAGAATGTCCTGTCATGGGCACTGGGATTCAAAATGGCCTGTGTGATTGAGTGTGCAAACAAGAAAAGCCTTTGAAATGGCAATGTTGTAGGCACCTGAACAAATTTAAACAAGAAGACAAAGTCATCAATATCCCCCGCAATGGCAAAATACTCTTCATGGTTATGTCTACGAGTTATGATTATGTCAAATATTTAGGTGTGTACATAGAAAAGTGGAAGGAGAACATTGAAAGGAGCACTACCACCAATTTCAGTCTCAGTCAAACTTGTTGCCATGGAAATGCCAAAAATATTTTATTCAGAATTCCAAAACTACCAAAAGGCACCAGTACACCACCAGATCTATCTATGTGCTAAGTTTGGTGAAGAAATAGTGAATGCTTTTGGAGTTCTGCTCCGGAAAAGAACACAACCACCAATTTCAGGCTAAGTCAAACTTGTTGCCATGGAAACGCCAAAAATATTTTATTCAGAATTCCAAAACTACCAAAAGGCACCAGTACACCGCCATACCAATCTATGTGCCAAGTTTGGTGAAGAAATAGTGAATGGTTTTAGAGTTCTGCTCCGGAAAAGAGCACAACCACCAATTTCAGTCTATGTCAAACTTGTTGCCATGGAAAAGCCAAAAATATTTTAATCAGAATTCTAAAATTACCAAAAGGCACCAGTACACCACCAGATCTATCTATGTGCCAAGTTTGGTGAAGAAATATTAAACGGTTTTAGAGTTCTGCACCAGTAAACACAACCACCAATTTCAGTCTATCTAACTTGTTGCCATAAACGCCAAAAATATTTTATTCAGAATTCCAAAACTACCAAAAGGCACCAGTACACCACCAGATCTATGTATGTGCCAAGTTTGGTGAAGAAATATTGAATGCTTTTAGAGTTCTGCTCCGGAAAAGAGCACTACCACCAATTTCAGTCTAAGTCGAACTTGTTGCCATGGAAACGCCAAAAATATTTTATTCAGAATTCCAAAACTACCAAAAGGCACCAGTACACCACCAGATCCATGTATGTGCCAAGTTTGGTGAAGAAATATTGAATGGTTTTAGAGTTCTGCACCGGAAAAGACAAATGTGCACGGACGGACGGACGGATGGACAGAGTCCATTTTAATACCCCCCGCAAAACGCGTTGCGGGGGATAAAAATTAGTGAGAAGGACCTGACATAATTTGTGGGGTGAAGCTGATATCAAGAGCATCCTGATGACCATACCTCTGTCGATTAAAGACTTACTTCTCTTAGACTATCTAGAGATCAGTACTCGCATCGCAAATACGATACTCTTATCTCCAGTACATGACATTTCATATCAAAGGTCTTTGTCATGTCTTACCATGTCTGGAAATGAAGTACTAGTGAAGGATTGTAAAGGGTTGTTTGCCTCTAAACAAGTGTCAGGCCCCTAAGGATCGGAAAGGGTGCCATATCCTAACCCTTAACTAACCCTAACCCTTAGGATCGTAGACTTGCAGCAAAGGGAGACTGAGCAATAATCGTGATATAGCGCAGTAGTGCAATAGCAATAGCGATAATTGTTCTGAAATGAGCCGCGCGGGCTGTGCCAGGTAAAGTGCACTCAAGCTAAGAAATTCACCCATCTCTATACTGAGTCCAAATCATGTTTCCATGTATAAGACTTGTTCCGTAGTGCCACAGCCGGCCAGGGTCTATTAGCGTGTGTTGGTTCACAGTGATTACAAAGACGGTATAACATGTATTCTCAGCTCTTGCGGTACTGTCACTGCACATACCTCTCCCTAAATTCTAGGAAAAGCTGGTGGGTGGTAAATTCTAGGATAAGCTGGTGGGTGCTACTAAAATGGAATGGATTTTCCGATTCTGCAATTTAAAATTATACACTGAACTAGTACAAGTGTGCTCCATTACATGTAAAATTGTCCTGAATTGAAAGTGTATCAGTTTATTAACGTTTTTTTATCAGTAAATTCACAGGGGTTTAAATTAGAGATTTACAGAAATCCCATATTTCACACTTAACTATGAACTAAAGTGTGACAATTAGTTCGGATTATCCACATGGTCACGAGGCTCCTAATTTGCTACAGCTATGTTCATTGGTCATTTGGAATTGTCAAAATACAAATAGACTTAAGTATCATTGGCTGAAAGTTCATTTTGAATAATCCAAGTGTATATTGTAGAGAGAAATTTCACCTGAGAAAGAAATTCAGCCTGATTCAGCACAAACACCTACTCTCCTTGAATTAACTGTTATTTGTTTTGCCTATTTCTACTGGTGCAGAATAACAATGATATAGCAATGTCATTAATTCAGTTACAGCTTGGCATGTAGTTTAAGAAAATTCAGATGGGGCGCCAAGGTTTCTTTTAGACCCATTGGAACTATACTGCCCTGCAGGAATGATCACAATGAAGGATCTGCATCCTGCGAAGTTAGGCTGCTCCACTGGATGGGTGGGAAGAACTAGAAGGTACCCCCTCCATAGGGTCAACATTTGTGTCATGTGACAACTTCTTGCTGTCAAAGAGTTCAATAGTGTATTTTAGAATGCAAGACACTCCCTCTCTTCACTTGAGATGACAATTTAACACTCGTCTTTCTAGCCTCTTTTGACTTTGGTGTGATCAAGGCAATCAAAGTTTTGGAAAGTTTTCTTTCGATATATCCTTCCTATAGGTACATCCCACCTTCGATGTGCCTGTTCTTTGCACACATAGCACGAGGATCATCTGTGATCTGACTACTGCCACAGTCAGAGCAACTACCGCCTTGTGCATATAGTTGCAACAGCTTTGGCATAGGGTTACCTCAAAACTAACAAGATAAGTTGGCAGTGAACAGTACATATAGTGTGATGGCTGGATTATGAATTCCGAAGTACTGTATGTCACACAAATCTATTGATATCAAAATACTTTTCTTCGTGTGAAAAAATCTTTTTATCATGGTCATGGGATAAATACAATCACTCACTTGTCAATGTGGTCCTCATGTTGACAATTATATATGAAAATTCACTTTTTCGCAAAAAATTATGAATAAACTTGGTCTCAATATTATGACAAAATACCTATTTGCCCCGATATGTATTGCCCATTGTTTTGTCATCATTTGATTCCTCGTTACACTTATTGCTCATAAATAATAGATGTCATGACTTTTTGGAAATTTGGTCCCTTGAGATTCAAACAATAGTAATCTTGTATACAATAAGCCAGGTCATCAATGAGAAGTTAATTGGTGATCCAACTACATGTAACTGATCCAACAACAAACCAGCTGCCGCGACCTTTCTACTATTGTCGGTGAGTTCAAAAGGCAGATTAGTGATTTCTACGGAAGAATTAGCACATGACATTGACTTAACTCAATCAAATCAGAAACAAACGTTAATGTCAGACTTTTTTCAGGAGTGAGTTCATCTTTTTGTATATTAATAAGGTTCAAGATGGCGGCATGTACAAGTATATCTATCGATTGCCGATAGAGTTTGTTCATGGATTTTAAGAGGTAAATGTATTTTCTATTTCATTGTGCTAGTATTGAAATGTGTTCTCATTTGTATAATGTTTGTTTCCATTATCCATTATCTATGTCACCTAATGTATTGTTGTGCTATATTTAGATATGATGTGCGGAATAAAGGAATTGTTCAATATTGAATCATCTTTTTTTTTTCTACCCTCATAGACATCCCTATGTCTCGAATACATCGATAAGCCGAATCTTTTACTTGGTCCCCAGCGATTCGACTCATCGTGTCCTCATTTGACTGTATATGAAAATTCACTTTTTCTAAAAAAATTACGAATAAACTTGGTCTTATAACATACATGACAAAATAATTATTTGCAGATATGTATTGCCCATTCGCTATGACTATATTGATCCTAGATTATTCTTAGCTGTAGAAATAGATGTCATCTTTTTAGTTTGAGGATGACCGTCCCAATGCTAGCCTCATAAAATGAATCAGGACATCATCACAAGAGAAAATTTACATCACACCTACAATATTAAAACCAACAACAACAAAATACCAGATTATACATTTTGTAGGTGCAGTATCTCCAAACATAATTCCAACAAACATCTGAAGTCATCATGGCCATGGAACATACCTGATCAGATATATTGAACAAAGAAACTTGACCTGAAATTGCACAGAACAAATTTTCATGGAGCTACACATGATTGAATTTATCTGACAGATTGTCTTTAGAAAAAGTCTTGAAGGAGCCTGACAAAGTTGAATTAAACTTGCCCCAGCATATATGTCATGCAAATATGACCATGAAGGTAAGATTTAGTCACTTACCAACCACCATCAGTGTGAATTCAAAGCCTCTCTTCACAGACTTCCTGTACACCTGATTTGGGAGATTGGCAAAGCCCACATATCCTTCCAATTCTTTGTGTGTGTCACCATACTTTTTCTCTCGTTCCTTCTCTTTATCAAAATCAGTATCTCTCATATATTCCTTTTCCTTCACCCTTTCCCTGTCATATCCAAGACGAGCAGAAGGGTCAAACTTTGTGGTTGGTCCATCTCCACTCCCCCCACGAAAAAAGGCTTCTCTTTTTGCTGCATTCATCTGAAACAAAGAAGCATCTGTATGCTGTAAACACCAATCTATGTTTGTGAGAAGAGCAGATATGATGCCTATATTAAAAGAAAAAAAAAGCACAAAACATAGAGTAACAGGTCAGTCTGAAAAAACTCAGCCAGAGGCTACAATGTACATGATGTAAGATCTGATTTGGCACCTTCAAGGGCATTTATTTACTCATTTTCTGAATCTAATAATGCAAAGGTGCCACTTGTGTTAATCATATAAGTATAGCTATCCAGCTACAATTACAAAAAAAAACATAATATGTAACTAGGGTATAACACAACACACAAATGTCTAGAATGACAATAAAAATATATAGAGAACAAGCAATAAAAAGTTCCTGTAAAAACGTCCGGTACACTAAAGTACCTGATTACTTTACAGGACCCTTCAAATTAGTAATAAGGGGTCCTCTAGATTTTATAAATACCCTCTGCAAGTTTGGTCTAATGATATCAAGTTTGTTTAAGAATACATAGATATATAAGAAGTAAAAAATCAATTTAGATGGAAAGAAAGGAAGGTATGTTTCAACCTCTATGCATCAGTCAGAACCTAACCAAGTAGACAGTTAATTGTTGTTGGAACAACAATTGGCACCTGAATACATACCATATAACAGTATGGTAGTTCTGAGTCAGTGGCTCTCCAGTAATAGTACAATACAAGTTTAAGGGTGCTTAAACAGTGGTTCAGATGTTTGTGAGCAGTTTGACTTAACAACATGAAGGTAATTTTTCAACTGTGCTAACATATCTTCCCTGACAAGATAAATATGCCAATCATACACAGTACAAAGGCATTTGAGGAGGCGTTTCTACATCTAAACATGGTTATACAGATGGCATAATGTGATAGTGAAATTGAATCCTGAACAGATTTCTCACGGAGACCTATCTCATGCTGTATAACAATCATCATCATCTTGGTCAGAGTCTTGCGACTGACCCGATTACAAATGGTACTGACGGACTCCAGGATAAGCTGTTTATGCAGTGACTGAGCTAGATTTTATCTTGCTGAATTTAATTTATCTGTTGATACAGTTGGAACATTGTCCTCTCCTTAGAGAGATCAGCAGTGGCAGTGAAGGATGATGAGAAAGTTGAGCGCACTGGAAACCTGTAGGTCCTATAATGGGAATTAAACCGATCATGATTGCATATAAGTTTAGAAACCTGTGTAGTTACCATACAGTTAATGTGGTTACAACATTATAACTGACAAGCCAGAGCAGTCTGATTGGTCCATGTGGCACCCTGTATGGTTGGATTGCCTTGACAATGAATTCATCAGGAGGCTATCTGTCCAGAAGGAGGTGTACAGCTGATGATACCTCCTCTGCTTGAGAAGATAGCAACGCTCCCTTTCATTTCGGAATCCCTTTTCTGTCTCCTGGAATAATGCTGACAGGCAGGAGTCAAGCATTAATAAAAAATCTCTGTAAATGTCTACAGGTAGATGTGTTTTGCATTGTAGGCATAGTCAACTGAGGCGTAGCAGGACATGATTCTGAGCTCACTTTCGTTTTGGCAGCTTCCAAACATTCCACAAAAACCTTCATGGACAGAGGGGCACATAGCTTGCACTTGCTCTCCTCAGTGCAAGAAGCTGCTCAGTTCTCTCATCAGAATAAAAACGGCTGGACTGCAGACAGGTTGATTAAGTGGAAACCGATGGCATGCTGGATTACAAACACCTAGACAGATCACTAATACTCATGTAATGTGTCCCAGAGCATAGTCCATAAACTAGAAATAGAAGAGCAACTGTCAACTGAACAAACTAGAGACAATATCCAAGTGCTAGGCAGGGAGGTCCGCATGAAAAGTTGATGCTACCCTTAGCACATAAAAGTAAGAATTGAGGTTTCCCTTTTTGCTCAAAGACGCAAGTGTAGGCTGAAGGTGTAATTACTTATATTTGACGGCAAAGAGGACTTCTGTTGAATAGGTTTGTTTTACTTCTGTAACATATACAGTATTAATGGTAAGAATTTTGTAAGAATTATATCTATCTTTGAACTTCATGCTCTAGATCCTAATATCTACTCATCAATATCAGAAATAACAAGCATTGTCACTAAGGTGACATAATCCCCCGCCACAAATTATCAAATCAAACTTATAAAGTAATGAAAGTTTAAGATGAAGTTAAATGTCAACAAAAACATTATCTTGCTCTTTAGTTGTTCAAACACACACATATTTTCAAGACTGACTTTGACCTTGACATGAATGTCATAGTGTATGAAATATGCAAAACTAGTACTAAAGAAATTGCTTATTAAAAACATCCAAGGGAGGTCTTGAAAGTCTATGAAGAAAATCCAGAGAACCGTTCTTAAAATATCTTGCTGACAATTCAGGTTAACATTCTGAAATCTTCATAGTGTCGCCTTGACCCTACAAATTATGTGAAGGTCACCAAAATTGACTGGGCCCTGGGCCTTCCCTAGATGAGGCTTGGTGTCAAATATGAAGAAAATCCACTGAATATTTTTTGCGATATCTTGCTGACTATCTTAACAAGCAATTTAACATGCTGAAATCTTCAAAGTGTCTCCGGAACTTGAAACTTAAGAGGTCACCAAAATCGACTGGGCCCTGCACCTTCCCTGGATGAAGCTTTGTGTCAAATATGAAGAAACTCCAGTGAATGGTTCTTGAGATAGCTTAACATGCAGGTAAAATGTGAAAGTCCCCTTGTGACCTTGAAATGAAGGTCAAGTTTACCAAACCTGACTTGGACCTTTCTCATAATGTGATGAACCCAGGTACCAAATATGAAAAGAATCTAGTGAACGGTTCTTAAGATATTCCAATTGGTACGTACGTACGGACGGATGGATGGACTTAAGATATTCCAACACGCGGCGGGGGATAATAACCCAACCAAATGTACCAGTCAGCATATTCGGGCTCGAATCATTAATAAATTTATCCCTAATTCTACACAATAATACCAAAGCATATTTTTAACATCAATACAAACTAAACTGCTCTGTGTTGTATTGCCATGAAAATTACCCTAATTTTGTATTTGAACTACTAATAGTAATACCCAAATTCAGTTTGTCCACAAATACTTTTGGAATTGTTGCTAAGTAGCACTGGAACACTTTCGAGCATTGAAGGATTTCTATGTAAAAAATTAATTTCACTGATGACCAAACCTGAACCGCTTTGAAATGTAACCATATAAAGAGCAATATTTAATACCGTAGATATACTGTGAAACCCTTACAAGCCAGACTTGAGTGAACATAAGGATCCAAATACCATCTGACTTGGTTTTGTGTATTGTGTTCTTCTGTGATTTTCACAAACAAAGTAGTTTAACTGTTCAGCACAGCAACCAATTATAAAATTCTTTGACAAGAAATTTTATCCTCTCCATTGCAAAACCTCATAAAATTTTATATAAAATCATAAAGTTTTTTGTTTTTTTTGCTGCAGTCAATTTTTCTACCCAGACTGGACTAAGGGACAGGTCATCTATATCGGGGTGAATGGGTTAGATAAATCAATGGGACCACCATAACATAGGACCATCTCTCAGTAACAGTAAAAAAAAGAAGATATTTGGTAATCTCCTCTCTTCAGAGAGGGTCATAAAAAAAAAATGTGCCAAGGCACGTTGGGAAAGTCATCCGAAAATTTGACAAGAATCAGCATGATTAAGGGAAGTTAATTATTTTTAGTACATTTGTGCATCAAAACCTCTGACATTCCACGTTATAAATGGCTAGTCCATAATCTCTAAACATTCTGAAGTGGGACAAAAAAGAACTTTGAATTAAATTTAAATATTTCCTCCTTATGGAGGACTTTCATTTCATATATATGTATATCTTGATGTTGAGTGTTACCATTACTCGTCAGTCGTGTGAGCATTTCCTGTTTAGTATTTAAAATATGTTTAATGGCATAAATGTTCAATGGGATTGGGCAAAAGTTATCCAACTGAAGTGGTCCTCTCCCTTATACATATATACTTACACTGATTTATTAATGTTTAACATGTTTAAGATTACAAAGTAACAAACTGTATTATGAAAAACAGAAACATGTTTTAAGGAACATACATACCATACATAGATGAACACATTATTCTTGTAATCAACATAAGTGTACAACTACAGTTATAAGAACACTAATGCAGATAAACCTAACATGTACCTGTATGTACTTTAACTTTTTCAGACAGTTTGTGATATAATTCTGCTGAAGAAAAACATATGACTGTTGCTTTGGGTGTTTATGAAACAAGTAGTCCTATCTAATGTTAATATTTCATACAAATACCATCAGTACTGTACATGTCAGCTCCATACTTGAGAGCTGTATATACATGTGTATTTTGAAGCAGACCAGACCAAGCCAGGGATAATTGTGGGTTGTTGGGATAGTTGATTAACAGAGTTATAGGCATAAATAAATGGACAGTATAAAAAAGTACTGCACGTGACATTTAACCAAAAGCTAAACCATTTTTCATCATGTCCAACTTGAAGATATACACAATAAAGTCTTGATTTGAACACAAGTAAACTAATGTCAATTTACTGATTTTGTAATTTTCTTTAAAGCTAGTTCAAAGACATTTTTTGCAAATTTATTTTTACGAGATTGTTGTTGTTAGCCATTTCAAGAATGAAGATGAACTAGACACCCTCATGCTGAGCTCACTTTTTAAAACCAACCTTCTTGGAACACTTTTTCAAGGTGGGAACACAGTTATGTTCAACCCATCAACCAGGGTTGAACCATTTGTACAGCTCAGGGAACTATTTAGAAAGAGGAAAGTGAAGTTGGACTAAGGATACAAGCAATAAGGCAGCTTGAGATTTCCGCAGTTCTGTTTTTCATATGGTGAAAATATAAAATTCATAAGAAACTAGTGAGGATATCTTTTATATCAATGCATGCTACCTATGTTGTAAATATAAGACACCCACCCAAAAAATACTGAAACTT